CAAAAGCTGAGTGGTAAAAAGTTGTTTATAGAAGGCGCGCTTTTCCTGTTGTACCGCGCGTCTCCCCCTCACAGTCCCCGCTGGGTACGTGCGCCAACACTGTCCCCGGTGTCGGACACAAAGGTGTCCCTTACCACCGGACAGTTTATAGGTTAGCTTTTTTATGAAGCATTTGTACTTATTGTAATGATGATTGTATGTTGTTTTACAGGATAGAAGGAGAGAGATATTTGACAATGGAAGTGAGAAAAAGAAAGGAAAATGGGATCAGCAAAGTTTAAATTCTGCGATGGACAAGATTTTGTCCAAAAAAATGAGTTCGAGGGAAGCTTCGTCACGTTACAATGTTCCAAAAAGTACTCTACATGATAAAATAACGACATTGGGCAGTGGAAAAGAAGTCACGTTGCAACCAAAAGTTGGTAGATTCACAAAACCCTTCTCACCCGAGTATGAGCAAGTTTTAGTGGACCACATAAGAGAATTGTCTAATAGATGTCTGCCCCTGATGAAAAAGGAGTTTTTGAAGTTAGCTTACGACTTGGCTGAAGCTATGAAGATTCCACATCGTTATAATAATGAAAAAAAAAACTGCTGACTTCATGCATAGACATCCGGACATTTCTTTGAGAACACCGGAGTCAACAAGCATGATGCGAGCCGTAGGGTTTAATAAACCACAAGTGGGTATATTCTACGACAATCTGGAAAGGCTAATGATACAGTACAAATTTCCACCCTCCAATATTTACAACTGTGATAAAACTGGAATTAGCTGCGTGCATAAACATCAGAAAGTTCTGGCTCCAAAGATTGTCCGCCAAGTAGGAAAGCTTACTTCTGCTGAGAGGGGTAAAAATATAACAGTTTTGTTTTGCATGAGTGCTAGCAGTCACTTCATACCACCTTTTTTGTCTTTCCAAGGCAAAGAATGAATGCTCGGCTCATGATCAATTCTCCAGCTGAAAGCGCTGGTGTGGCTCAACCAAAGGGTAGGATGAATAGTGATTTTTTCTCCAATGCCTATTTTTACAGCTATTTATTAAATAATCTCACCCGACTAAAGAGTCCTGTATTGCTTATACTGGATGGTCATTGTAGCCATAAGACACTAGAGGTAATAAATCTTTGCCGAGAAAACCACATTCATTTGATCAGCTCACCACCACACACAACCCACAAGCTCTAACCATTGGATAGAACTTTTATGAAGCCATTCAAAGATGCTTATAACCAAAAATGCGACATGTGGATGAGAGCAAACGCTGGATCTCGGATAACGGACCACGATATTGCTGGTCTGGTCAATAAAGCGTTTACCAAAGTAGTTCGGCTAGATATTGCGGTGTCTGGGTTTAAATGCACAGGAATTCACCCATTCGACCGACATTTATTTTCTGACTTGGATTATTTGCCTTCAAACATGACTAAAATTCCACTAGAAGAGCCAGAAACCTCTTTAAACGCATCAAGTTGCAGCAAGGAAGTGTCCGTGACTTCCACTGATTCGACCTTGGCTAGCTCATTGATTTCCTATGATTTATTTATTTATTTATTTATTTTATTTTTATTTATTTATTTATTTTCTTTAAAAACAACTATTTTCACAGGCTTAGCCCAATGCAATAGTGTTATACCATCTACTTATTTATTATAAGAAATAATTCTTAATGCTGTTATTGTGAATTCACTCAGTGAGCAATAAAAAAAATCTACTTCGTCCGCAATTATATTCAGAGTACGTAGTGCGCGCGTCAGCGGTGCTTCTCTCTGCAGGTTGGTGCGCCCGCACGGGACAGCCAGCAGCGGCGGCCGGCGGCGCCGCCACACGTATCTGTCCGGAACACATATGCTGACTCGTCCTAACAAGTCTTCATTATGTATCCCACCCCTAAGTACCCTAAACAGGTACGAGACGAGTGTGAGTTCCCTTCTGACCCTCAGTTCATTGTATCCCACCATACCCAGAATAAATAACGTGGGATACATTAATGGATACAATGGGTATACTCCATAGTATCTGAAGTACAAAAACCTAACAAATTTATTTTGAACTCGCTCCAACATGAGGCTATATTTAGCTTCATGTGGGGCCCAGATGACTGCGTTACTCTCTAGCTGACTTCTTACCAACGCGTTATACAATGCTATAATTGTATTTAGGTTTCTAAAGTCCTTTACTGTTCGTAAAACAAAACCCAAATTCCTATAAGCTTTTTTACAGCATTTCACTATGTGATCACGAAATCTTAGCTCAGTGTTAACACAAACCCCTAAATCCCTAACCTCTGTGACCCTTACCATCTGTGTCCCGTCTAAATTATAATTATACGAGATGGGTTCGCGTAAGCGTGAGAAGGTGATAGCCACGCACTTCGAGGTATTAAACTGCAAGAGATTGTCTCTACTCCAGGTTACCACCCTATCTATGTCTGTTTGAAGCTTCTTGCAGTCCTCCAAGTTGTTAATAGGGAGGGAGAGCTTGAGGTCGTCTGCGAACAGTAAGCATTTCGCATCCTGGACTACTCTGGGTAGATCATTAATCATTATAATGAATTCTAGAGGCCCAAGGTTGCTACCTTGACTTACGCCGGACCTGGTGAAATATGGCTCCGATACATGCCCCCCGTATTCCACGTACTGCTGCCTACCTTGCATGTAGCTGGCAAAAAAATTAAGCAAGTGGGGGGTGAAACCGATGCTAGCTAGCTTCCTCTTTCTTTTTTTCTTCTTCTTTTGATAATTTAGTCTCAGAAGAAACGACTACCCTCCTGAAGAAACTACCAATGTACCAACAATTACCATTCCCAAATCATCAATGAGACTTAATGTTCATGTTCTTCAGACTGTGCATAAACTGTCGCCATTGCCAGATGCCGCAAAAAAAAGGTCAGCGGCTCGGAAGAGAAGAAGTGAAAGAAGTGAAATTTTAACGTTATCACCCTACAAAATTGTTGTTCAAGAGCCAGAAAGAACAAAAGAAAAGAATGGGACATAAGTTTAAAACGGCAATTAAAAAAAAGAGTAAATAAACCAAAGATACGAAGGCAAAAGGAAGAAGTGGCAATAACGACAACAAAAAGGAGCCGCTAACTGAAGTATCAAATATAGAAAAAACTACTTGTGTAGTGTGTTTAGAGGACCACGACGAGGACTGGATACAATGCTCCAGCTGTCAAGAATGGGCTCATGAAGCATGTGCAGACGTTCCAGAATGTGGAGATGCCTACATATGTGATAGATGCACAATGTTTTAGAATGTCCGGCGCTTGGGGTTTGAAGATTAACCCGTCCGGCATTAGGTGCCAATGTCAAAGTCCTTTATTTTTTTACCAAAACTTATTTAACATTCCTAAACTATGTTTACGCAGAAGTTGTATTTTTGTTATTTGATTTTGATTTTATGTTTTGTTAATTTAAGTAATTCATAAATAAATACATATTTCTCGATGTAGTTTTAATTTTATTTCCTGAAAACCTTATGTGTCCGTCACTAGGGGACTTCCCCCTCTTGTTTGATCTAAATTTCTGTAAAATTAAAGGAATTAAATTTTGACGTACGTTCGAAGGCTGGCTATCGAGCACCTGTCGCGCTTAGTCGAATGTTTATTCACCTAAGATTTGGCCGTGACAAAAGATTCGAAACAATAAATATCATTTAAAACTATTATTTAAAAATAATAGTTTTAAATGATATTTATTGTAATAAATACTACTACTAACTACTACTACTACTACTAAAGTAATAACTGTTTATTTTTTAACAATAAAATGCTAAAACCGGCGCTTTACCAACGTAGTGCTATGTATTATGATCTTGTCGCAAGTTTACTTAAAAATTTGGGAATTCAAGTTCAAGTCAAGGGAAGTTTCGAGATTCGAGGTTAGCAAATCTTGTTTTAGCTATAAACTAGTGTAAGCTAAAAATATGACAAATTTTTGAAGCCACTTCTACTAGAAGTATTAAAAAGAAATGTAATATTCTTAGTGTTAATTGTTTTTTTAGTGAAACTAGGCGCAGAGCTAAACGAAAGAAGGTAGATTATCCTTCAAATATTAATGAAACTGAATTTGAAAAAAGATATCGTTAAGCAAAGAATCTTTTATGTTTCTCTGTGAGCAACTCCGTTAAAAACCATTTTTAAAATCAAGTTCCAGGGTTACTCAAGAGCTTAAGGTGGGTTAATTTTAATATTTCTACTGAATATGAAGTACTCACTGTATTGTTTTCAAATAATTTAAAGGTTACAGGTTCTATGTGCACTATCACTATCTACTGGATCATACCAGCGTATAGTAGGAATGGCGAAATATTTAGGTAATAGGTAAATATTGCAAACAACAGTCACAGCTTCAGAACAACAGATTGTTTGCAAAATATGGTTTCCCAGGCGTGATAGAGGTTGCATTGATGCAAGTCATTTCCATAGTTTTACACCCAATAAAGAAATAGAACACTTATTTTACTGCAGAAAGCATTTCTTTTCATCGAATGTTTAAATGGTAAGCAAGTAACATTGTAACAAAATTAATTACAAGTAATAAAATATCATACAGTACCTATAGTCTACAGTGCTAACATTATTGCAGATATGTGACAGCGACTGCCGTATTTTAAATGTTAATGCAAAATATGGAGGAGCCACGCATGATGCTTTATATGGGAAAATAGTTTAGTTCACAATTACATAAAAGAGTTACATCGAAGTAATGAGCAAGTGTGGTTATTAGGTGTGTCATGTTAGTTTATTGATAAAACTAATTGACCTCCCTACATGGTCACTTTTTTTTAATACATACATAATTTAATAATTTACAGGTGATTCTGGCTATCCACAACGTCTCTCTTTAATGACACTAGTTCTAGATGATCCTTCAGCACAGAGATATACAACAGTACATAGAAATGCCAGAGTGTCAATGGAAAATACTTTTGGGCAATTAAAAAATCGATGGCGTTGTTTATGCAAAGATCGCACACTACATTACGCACCAGAGAAATGCACAAAAATAATTACAGCTTGCTGCGTGCTGACAACCTGGCCATTAACTACAATCTTCCTGAACCAGAACCCCAAGACCCTAGGATGCCACAACAAAGCTCTGAATATATTTTTCATGAAAACAATACCGGAGATGACTTACCCAGAAAAGGGTGATTAGAAATATGTTAATAAATTCAATTAAGAGAACTTAACCAATAATTTAAGTTTTCGATATAATTTTTGTAGTTAAATATCTACACTAATATTGTAAAGAGGAAAGATTTGATTGTTTGTTTATATTGAATAGGCTCCGACACTACTGGACCCCGTTTTTGACTTTTAATCCCACGGCAATCGTGATGAGTAATAACAATTTCAATCGTGGACGAGGAGCACCACGTGGCAGAGGCCAATCCGGCGGTAACCGCCGTGCAGCCCGCGACGCTGAGCGCGCTTACAACCACCATAACAACCGCAGGATGCTTGAGGACTGGGCGTACGAACCAGAACCTTATGATCCGCGTCGGGAGCAGAATCGGAAGCCGACTGCAAGATCCCAAGCCTTCAAGGAAGCAAAGGCACCCCCCAAGAAGACAGAACCGTCAGCTCAAGTGGTACCCAGTACGTCGGAGGATACCCCCAGGGACGAACCTTTATACGACATCGGGCCACACTCTTCATTAATACCTGAGTTAGACCGTTACTGCCAGAATTTTGACTATGGAGGTTTCATTCCCATTGTCAATCAAACTTATGACCAACTTCGAGGCGTAGACCCGAGACTTGCTGAGCGGCTACCCCTCAGTATGTTCACCCATGCAATGTCCCTACATTTAAATTTAGATTTAGTTTTGAACCAAAGGACTGATGTCAGAGAGATATTACCTGACCTTCAATACATTCCCCAACCTATAGTTGATTATTTATCACATGTATCTAGCTGCATTACACAGGATGGGAAGGAAATAGTGATGAATTTACCTGAGATAGCAGTTCCACAGGGTCCAGTATTTCAAGATGGTGTCGAGATAGCACCAAGTGGTTCATTCGGAGCCATTAACGCACAGAATCACAACGTTTATGAAGCTTACATCTGCCCATTAGTCACATCAAACCGTGTTATAGCTTCCGCAATTAATGATCCAGAATACCAGCCGCTGCCTGATGGACTGGTTCATGGCAATTTAGTTCCAAACCGTAATCTACTGGGATTCGACCTTATAGACGCACAGAACAACGGAGCACATTCCCGTTTGGCGGGTATTGTCTTTCCCAATGATGATACGATAGAAGGGAGGTTCAGATATTCCCCTCTTTTACAGACACGTGTTTACACAGTCCTAGCTGAAATGAAGGACCGATTTAAAATGGTTGAGATCAAGCGAGAACAGAATCCAACAGGCTTGAATATCATTCCTAAAATTCCAAAGAAGATCACCGCCGCTAATCTTACTTTTGTAGAATCAGTTGGCCCCGTTAATGATGCACAAATTCCATTATACGAAAGGACAGTCAACATTCATTCATCCGGAGCTCAGGGTTCGGCTATTGCCAACCAAGCTAACGTAGAGTGCCTTCATAGAAGACGAATTCCTGCGAACGCTCGAGGATTATGTTTTACTACCTTACAGGGTAATGCTCCAGGCGGTTGGGTTGCTACCTGTAACTCAAATTTCAATATGGATGGCGATTTTCAGCCAGTAATTCATTTTAATTATGTTAGACTCAGGGACGTCGACTTTTCGTCAAGAGGACCAGCTGCTAGCCGATTATCAGTTATTTAGTAGCCATAGTACAAGCTTTGCTTAGTTTGGGGCTAGATGTCGGTGTGTGAATGTGGTATAATTTTATTCCTGATGAACAAGGCTACTTTTTACCGCGGGAAAATGCTTCATTCCTACGGGCAAACGGGTAATAGGACAACGGGTAGTAAGGATTATCCTTTCCTACTTATCTTTTTCACATAACTTCTAAACGGCTGAGCCGATTGGGTTGAAATTCTATATGGGTATTTCAATGGTTTCCTGGATGATTTAAAAATACACCCGGCACTGCTGTCGGTATGTCAACTACTAAACTAATGTGTATTTCCATGGTTTCACAGACACGAATGTATTATGCCTACCTAATCTATCTTTTTATACATATAAATAAAATGAATCGCCGTAATGTATGTACTGTACGCGCATATTCAGAACGATTGCACCAAATGTCTTATTTTTTTAAATGGGTACAACAACTGTGCGAAGCAATTATGTGTGTAATTAACGATTATCAAACAAACATGGGTCTCACAGATCTCGACTAATAAATAATTGTAAATATCTCAGCGAGCAAGTATCGTATAAGCTTATTCATTTCTGTACCTTTTCCCCGCATCCCTCAATGCCGCGTAACAGCTCTTCGACATCGGACGTGTGCGCGTTTATTTCTGGTGAGTGAAAAACTATCACTTCGGATCTGAGAGACCGGTGGTAGATGGTTACGTGATTTTTTACATTTTGTGTTTTCTATTGTTTTAGGTATAAATGGCTTCTGGTAACAATATATAGAGCGGTGTTTAGAACAGGACTAGGCAGACGACGAAAAGATACCAAATCACGAATTATAGTGATGTGGAGTCTGATGTTGAGATAACTCATGTCTTGGAGGAAAGTAGATCAGATTCGGAAGGCGAGGAGTTACTTACAGTGGAGAATGAAGAAAATTGTCTGTCCCCGAGTGATTTCATCATTAGCACCCGACAGTTTTCATCTGAAGATAATGAGCCCTTATCTCAAATACAATCGAGGTTTAGAAAAAATAATTATTTTGGCAAGAATCGTTTTCGTTGGTCGTCTGCTCCGTCTTACACGCGATCGAGAACTTTGCAGCATAATATAATGCAAGAAAGAGAAGGTGTAAAGCCAGCGTTTTGGAGTGCTATAAAATCTTCCACATCACCGCTGGATATTTGGCAGCAGTTTTTTACAGATGAAATATTAGAAAATATCGTTGTTTACACTAATATAGAGAAAATATAAGAGAAATGAGACCAAAGTACCAAAATACATATTGTGTTCAACATTTAGATCTCATAGAATTGAAAGCGTTTATAGGAATCCTGTTTTATACGGCAATCTTCAAAGAAAACCATGAACATTATACGTCATGGTACAGTACTAATGGTACAGGAAGGGAGATATACCGCTGTATTATGAGAAGGAACGGATTGGAAGTGTTGTTGAATGCTATACGTATACGTTTTGTAGCGACTTGACCAGCACGTCGAGCAATTGATTCATCTGCACCTATTGCTGACCTCTTCAAGTCGTTTATGTCAAGCCATATATGCAATCGGCAGCTACGCCTGTATTCACAAAATGTTGGTGGCATTTCGAGGAAGATGCAAGTTCAAAGTGTACATGCCAAAAAAGCCAACCAAATATGGCATAAAAATTCAATGTCTCACGGATGCACGGTCTGGTTACCTACTCAATGTACATATATATGTGGGCAAACATTCCGATAGTCAGAATTTAACAGCAGAATATCAAGGTATGAAGAAACCAACACAAGTAGTAATGCGAATACAATTGGTGTCTACGCTCACCATTACCTAGCTGTACCTATAAACGGTTCACCGTCGCAAGACATACAACGGTCTTCGTAAACGGCCCGTGGTCGTAACGCCCACCACGAACATTAGAAAAATAACTTCAATATAGAAACCTACCGCACGGCACGTTCAAGCGCTGCCTTGTATTATATACCATTTTGTTGATTTTGAGAATTTATACATAATATATACTCATTGTAAAAGCTGATTAAGCGTTACCTCCCGAAAGAAGTCATACTTATTGAAGAGCCCCGGAATACCAAACAATTGGTATACCTAATGATATACTATTGAGTTACTAGATTTCCTTAAAAAGAAACAACTCACGGGTGTTGGAACCATGAGGAAGTATCAGAAAGAAATTCCCCGTGTTTTTTTTTTACCAAATTCTAACCGAAACGTGGATACTACTATTTTTGGATTTACCAAAGACTACACTATATCCTTATATGTGCCAAAAAAAAAACAGAGCTGTCATCACAGTCTCGAGTATCACATGCCAGATATTGATGATACCAGTAACAAATCAGAGGTTATACTTTTTTACAATAAAACAGAAATTGGAGTAGATCTACTCAACCAAAGGTGTTCAAATTACTCCACAAGTCGTCGCACTCGTAGGTGGCTTTTACCTATTTTTATCGACTACTGGATATTTCTGCCTATAATTCCTATGTCGTGAGCCTTTCTGCTACACCTCAAGGACAGAAAGTTGAAAGCAGGTTCAAATTCGTCAAATTCACACTATTAGCAGTTTCATCAAGCAGCAAATATAGCTTGTCCGTGCGCGAGAGTCTAGTATATGAAAAATACAGCTATATGAAAAAACTATAGAGATTCAAGATTTTTCAAAGGCTAAAGAAGTTGCAGTGAGGGAGAACTGGTCCGTGAGATTACCTGAATACGCTGCAGAAGTATATGACGAATCTAAGGAGGATATAGCTGAATCCTGTCCCATTGCAAAACAGACTGTTCCTCATCTTGAAGACCCCTGGGCACTGTTAGAAGAGTCAAATGGATAGACAAATGACCGATTCAGATCCTGATCCTTCTTCTTCTAAAATGGAGTCTGACAATCCAGATGATGAACAAGATCTTGATGACGTGTATCTGAGAGTAGGTGTCACAGAAGAGGGACGACCAAGTGGAAAGTTGATGCGGACTGTACAACGATTGCTCAAGGGTAACAAGTCAGATGTAAAAGTCTTAGGAGAGAGCAAAGTCCAGGTGGATCTGTCATATTTGAATGACCCAATAATCATTCAAAGAACCAGATCTACAACTGAGGCAATAATTAAGACTTTTATATCTATTCCAGGGAGGGTTGAAACTATCCAAATAAGTGAAGAAGGTATATTCACTTTCAATGTGACAAATCAGTATCTATCTCCAGATTCAGACTCGTCCGGATCCAGTAAGCCAACAAATATAAAAAAGTACCCTCGACGTTTCGTCAACGATACCCAAACCGGAGGACGGATATCCAGTTTATCGTCGTTGTGACGCCGAAAATGGAGGCCAGAGCGCTACGCTAAATATCAGAGGAAGTACTTTCAATATACTAGTAGATAGATAGATAGATAGATACAGAATAGGTGAATTGCCCCTTATTCTCCACAATTATGTAGGACGTTTAACGCGCACATAAATGTTGAGTACTGCCACTCAGCTAAAGCCACCAAATACATTTGTACTACTTTTAGGGTCCAAAAACCAAAACGATGAAAAGTAAAATTATGCAAATGGCCAGTATATAAGTACATCCGAAGCTGTTCATCCGAATTTTAGAATTTCTCATTCACGAGCGACATCCTGCAGTCTTGCAGTTAGCCGTCCACTTAGAAAACGGCCAAAGGGTGTATTTTACCGCATAAACGGCTGAACAAGTGTCCCAAAACCCACGTAAAACTACTTTGCTGGCTTTCTTTGAGCTCAGTAATGAAGATGAATTCGCAAAGACCCTTTTATACCACGAAGTCCCGCAATACTACACATGGGCCAATAATAAATTCTCAAGAAGGAGGCGTGGTGAGGACGTAGTTGGCCATCCAGGCTTAAAATTTATAACGAATGTTTGATCTAAATCGAAAATAAACTATTGCAATTAAATAATAAAAGCCTAAGTCATTTTGGATTACCTTCTCAGTTCGTACAGAAAACAATGCAACAGTTACAATGTCAAAATCACTGTAATACAAATGATTCGAGCTTATTACGACACTAATTGTAAAAAAAGACATGTCTATTTTTGACTAAGTATACAAGATGTGGTTTTAAAATAATAGAAGGTTTGCAAAAAATGATTTATTACATTTATAACATGGCAGGCTATCATTTACTTTTGGGCTTAGTAAAAATAAACAAAACAAGCTTGAAATAACTCAAAAAATTATAATAATTTTGAACTTTCTCGTGAATATTTGGCGCATCAATGAAACCCTTTTAGAAACAAATAAATAAAAAAGAAATATCAATGATGAAGCATATTGAAGCAGGATATGCAAAAAAAAGGCTTCTCCAGGCATTGTGGACACAACGTTCTCTCCTTTTTAGTTTTGTTTTTAGACAATGTTCTGCCGTAAGTAGTTACGTTAATTTTGCAGCAATTCACACATGTTCGTCTGCTTGTTCTGGCTTGCCCTTCTTTTTGTTGCAGTCTGTGTGTCATTCTTCTAGGTCTTGCCACTGGAACATCTTGCTGGCTGCAAAACGTTTTCAATAATGCCAGCCGGCAGTCTGCCATTTGTATTTTCTTGCCAGTGAGGCTTTGATACAAGACCAGTGCATTGACTACTGCTGTGTTTAGGAGAATGTTGATCGCATACTTTTTATACTACTTTATAGATTTCCTCAGTGGAGTTGAGTAAGCAGCTATTTGATCGGACAGCGTTATAGTCAATGACTATTTTCGGTTTGGAAATAACTTTATAGCGCTTTCGGACACTGAAACTGAACTGAGTGTTTGGAGGACAGCAATAAAAAATCTCTCTTATCCTTCCACATCATCACAGTTATGCCCTCACTGCTTTTTTTAGCCGAAAATTGGCCTCGTTTTACATTCGCGTTTACTACATCCTTTGGCAGATGCTTCCGTTTCTTTTGAATAGTGCCTACGGGATGAGTCTCTGCATCCAAAAGTTTTTTTGTTGTCGGGCACTAGCGTCCCATGTATAGAAAATTGTTGCAAAGAGACAAAACGACGTGTAGTATTCCTATCATCATTATTCTTGCCTGCGTATACATTTATCTTATAGTTATAGCCAGGAATGGTGCATAACTTGAATTCTTTGGTACAGTATTTGTGCCATTTTTGTTTGTTGTATTGTCGAAAAATGATTCGTCCGCGAAAAGGTACCACACTATCATCTATGCAGATCTTTTTGAAGGAGTGTAGTTCTTTTGGAAGTTCCTGTATATTGCTTCGAGTAATTTCTCAATCCTGTGTAATCTATTACATTTATATTCTTCGTCTTGCTGAGAAAAGTGCAGCTCAAATCGGTTTCGACTCATTATTGTTCGAGGAAACTTCTGTCCAAGTACAGGATCTTTGGACCACTTGTACTTTGGATAACTTTACGATCGCCATGTAAATAATCAAGCCAAAAAATCGTTTTATCTCTGCTGTGGATGTAGGTGTCCACTTGCGGATCCGCGCGGATTTAGATGCTGAGTTAGGCCCTGTGATTTTTTGTATAGAAAAGCTATTTGTATGATCGGCCACCATTTTAAATACTTCGTCTGGTACTAAAAGACGATAGAAATCTGCCGGAGACTTATCGATCTTATCTTATCTTGCACATCGCGGTCTAGTCCTGGGAATTCAGTGTACGGGATAATCTGACGTTGATTACTACTTGGATGGTGTCACATGGTAGATGATGCAGGAAACGGTGACCAGAAGTAATTGGTACGGCATTTTCGGGTTCCATGTTGCTCGTGTCTAATGAAATAATAAAACTCGCTTGGCGGTTTTCTACAGACTGACTTTAATCCACAGACAACAAACAAGGAGTAGACAAAGTTACACTCATATACCAATAGATTGCTTTAGTACTATGATATTTTGTTAAAGTTACAATTTATTTATAACACCCTCTCTTAACAAAATATCCCGATAAATTCACAAGTTTTAAAAATTCAGTTTTGAAATGGTTATAAGTATTTTAACAATAAAAACAATTATTATAAACTACATACTTATTTTAATTTACTTCCCCTATTCCCATCAGATCCATAAAGGACAATGGCAGGTCCCCATACATAATTTTATTTGAACTGAAATGTTAGCGTTTAAATATCAAAAAATCCTTAACACTTGAGAATTTATTCTTGACCATTCTCATATCAAAATTACTTGCGAAAGAAGTCTAGGAAAAAAGATATTGGATTTTGAATGTTTCGAGGTTAAGTACTAACATATTGTTAATGTTTTGTTTGAAACTAGATGGCGTTGTGTGTCAGATAGCCGAAAATATTATTTTCATTATTATTACAGTATATGAAATAAAAAAAATAAAAGCATAACATCTATTTGAGTTTAACACTAAATTAAACAAAAATAAAATAACAAACGTGGTGAGTCCGGAACTTGACAGGATCTAAACCACAGATTAAGAGATATGTACTAAAAGACGACGTATCGACATTTTGAAAATATCGATGTATGTCTATTTATGTGCCGTTTTCAATGACAATGTATTTTTCTCATCACACTGTGTAGTGGAAAATAACGTAACTATAGTCTTTTTCTTTAGTGTGTTTAAAATCGTTTAAAGAGAGTCAAAAATATTTTAAATCATTTCTAATTATGTTGATTCAGTCACTCTACCGTACGAGTGAAGACGTGGGCAGAAGCAAATTCATAATCATAATAGTGAACCTTCGGTAAATATTTCAGCCAAAGCTATAAGAATCGATTATCGATAAATTGTTCCATAATATAATATTGCCACCACGCATCCCTAGTCAGTTATACGTGATGGCGAATCTGACATTACGTACTTAGGTCAAATAAAATCTTCAAAAATATCTTATCTCTTATAAGACTTATACAACACATGGTGGTGTAATGATAAATCATAGAAATTTTTTTGATTAAGTTTACTGTGACTCGATTTTTTAAACGCTTAAGTTTTAGGTAAATATGTTTCTGCCATTGTTCTTTATAATGTTTATTTGCACAAAGTGCTTTAGTAAATATATCTGCTGGCATAGAAGAGGTTGGTACATAACTAATCTTGATTTTATTATTCACCACACATTCTCTAGTAAAATGATGGCGTACATCAATATGCTTAGTACGTTTGTGGAACATCGGATTAGAAGCCAATTTTAAGGAACTTTGACTATTTGACTATCACTGTACAAACTTAAAGGTTCATTTTTACCATACATACCAAGTTCTGACATTAAATTTTTCAAATAAATTGCTTCTTTACAAGCCTCTGCAAGCGCCATATACTCAGCCTCAGTACTAGACAGGGCAACTGTTCTTTGCTTTCGAGACTCATAACTTATTACACAACCTGACAATATAAAACAATATCCCGTATAAGACCTTCTATCAATGTTACAAGATGCCCAGTCGGCATCAACAAAACCATTTAAATCAGTACTATTTTTCTTGAAAATTAAGCCAAAATGTTTAGTTTTTTGCAAATATCTTAACAATCTTTTCAAATGTTTCCAATGTGTTTCATTATAACATGTGTTATATTGGCTCAGAAAGCTTACACTATAAGAAATATCTGGCCTTGTGAGAACTGAAAGATACATCAGTGATCCAACCAATTGTTGATAAGGATAAGTCTTACAATTATAATGGTTGTTATCAGCCTTTTCTAATTTTAAATTTACTTCCATTGGAGTATCTGAAGTTCTGCAATTAGTCATATTAAATCTTTTCAAAATATTGTCAATGAATTTCTCTTGGTCCAAGGTTACATAATTCTTTTGAACATTTACATTCATGCCAAGGCAATTTTTTGTTTGACCCAAATCTTTAATTTTGAAATCTGACTCTAATACACTTATCAACCCTTTGTAAGTATTATCGCAGTTGTAAAACACAAAAAAAATCATCGACAAATACAGCTACATAAACTTTCAAATTATTATGACACTTCATAAATAGACAGGGTTCATATTTAGATTTCTTGAAACCTAACTTTAACAAACTGGATTCTACTTTTATGTACCAGGCCCTAGCTGATTGTTTTAGCCCATATATGGCCTTTTTCAGCTTTAAAACTTTATTCTCACAATTTTTAAAATTAGAATTTTCTGGTATTTCCATAAATACACATTCATCAATATTGCCATTTAGGAAAGCTGTTGGTACATCTAAATGGTTCATTTTTAAGTCTAGTTGAACACTCAAGGCAAAAAGTAGTCTCAAGGTAGAATAACGCACAACAGGAGAAAATGTTTCATTATAGTCCACACCTTTGATTTGAGTGAAGCCCTTAGCCACAAGTCGGGCTCTATAGCGCACATTACCACTACTGTCACATTTCTCCTTGAATACCCACTTGTTTTTCACTACTGTGCACTCACTTGGCCTATCCACTAAAACCCACGTGTCATTGTCCCTAAAAGATTTCAGTTCTTCTTGCATAGCCCTGCACCACTGCTCCCTTTTGGGTCCTGTGAGGGCGTCCTGTAGAGATATTTGTTCACTAGTAAAGTCTTCAACACACATGTTTGAAAAACCATACCTCTCTGGTACACGACGAACTCGCTTCTTTTCTTGAATGACAGCATCATTCTGAGTAGCAACCAAACTGTCATCTGTTATTAAGCACTCACTATATTCGTCATCCTGATCACTTGACGAATCGCTTGCAATATATGTTGGATCTTCTCTGTCTGATCTCTCATTGTCTTCAATGCTCATTGAACTTTCCTCTTCAACACTTGTATTCTTTTCTATATCTTTGTCTGGTGCCCTCTCTTCAACCACAACCTCTACTGTGTCATTCATATGACTCTCCATAACCACAACATCCCGTGCCACAGTTATTTTATTTGTTTTCTGGTCATATAATCTGTAGCCTTTGGTATTTTCTGAATACCCAACCAAATGTAACATTTGTGATTTTTTGTCCCACTTGTTACGTCTCACTTTTGGAATGTGGACCATAACTGGACTCCCAAACACTCTAATATGTTGTAGATCGGGTTTTCTGCCAGTCCACATCTCATATGGGGTAGTATTATTGTCCAAAACTGCTGCTGGTGATCGATTTTTCAAATATACTGCCGTATTCACAGCCTCCGCCCATAGGTGTTTGTCGAATGGAGAATCATACAGAAGACAGCGTGCTTTTTCTACAATTGACCTATTGTATCTTTCACTTAAGCCATTCTGTTCCGGTGCATAGGGAACTGTCTTTTGATGAATTATCCCTTGTCGCTTTAAGTAATTTTCCATCTCCACTGAGCAGAATTCCCCACCGTTATCAGACCGCAATATCTTAATCTTTTGTGACCGCTGATTCTCAACCTGCTCTTTGAATTCACGAAAATACTTAAAAGTCTCATTCTTTTCCTTTAGAAAGTAAACAAAACACATCCGGCTGTAATCGTCAATAAACAACAGATAGTATCTAGCCAAACCAAGTGATTTCTTCTCCATAGGGCCACACAGATCTGTATGAACCACTTCTAGGACCCTGCTGCTCGTGCTCGTACTAGCAGAGAAAGGCAGCCTGCTTTGTTTCCCTTCACAGCAAACTACACAACTTGATTTGCTTATATTCTGTTTTTCCTGGTAAGTTACACCTTTAACTGCTCCTTTTTTCATTTTCTCAAGGTCATTCATATTTATATGACCCAAGCGTCTGTGCCAAGTGTTGCATGAGGTTTGTGCAACTGCCGCTAAAAGCTGCTTCGACTTTTCAATGTTTAATCTGTACACTTCATTTTCCAAGCTCGCTTCACCAATACAAACATTCTGAGTGTTGTAAATGTAACATCCATCTTTATTGAAGGATACTCTGTTACCATTTGCGATCATTCTGCTGACTGAAAGCAAATTTGTGGTGAGTGTTGGTATGCACAAAACATTCTTTATTTCTACTTCATGTGTGATTGTTTTCACTAGCGTAGTAAGCCGAAGATCTCCGGAGCACAACACTGAAACTTTCGTGCGATCAGCGACAATTATTTCTTTCACTTTCGGTTCATAAGATATGTTTGTCAACATGTTCTTGTTTGACACCATGTGAGCACTTGCGCCAGAGTCGACGTACCAGTCGTCTTGATTGAACTCTCGCGCAAGAAAAACTGCACTTAGCACGTTCGAAGTTGATTTCTGTTTGTCTTTATTTAATAGGCGGCACTGGCTCTTGAAATGTCCGATCTTTTTGCAATGGTAGCAACGAATTTGTTTTTTTCTGGGTTGTATTGACATTGACATTTCTACTGACAGGTGACAGATTCATTTCATTTTTGCTACTGCCACTATGCGCCTGTAGGTGGCGTTTCTGTACATGTGCAATTAGCGCGCCTTCTGACTTAACCTCAAATTCCGAACTCATGTCTAACAATTTTGTTTTTATAGCATCAGCACTTATCTTCAATCCTGAATGTTCGATTGCCATTATCATTGGGCTAAATCTTTCTGGCAGTCCTGCGAGCAACAGAGAGCCGATCCACTCGTCGTTTATTTCGAATCCGGTGCCCTTCAATCGCTGAGCCGTTTCCACAATCTGATTAACGTAGCTGGTCATACTATCACAACTCTCCAAACGTATTGATATTAGGCTTCTTAGGAGAGTAATCTTGCGCGTAAAACCAGAATCATCGAACAATGATTTCAATTTGGCCCACAAGGCTTGTACCGTGGCTTCGGTTTTTATATGGACAAACAACGACGGATCGATTGTCATAATTATTTTTGCCCTCGCCTTCTTATTTTCAGCTTCCGTTAGCCCCGTGGTGCTGGTTACATCTATGCCTTCCAGGATCATGAAGTTTTCGGCGGCAAACGCCCAGTCGTCGTAGTTCTCGCGTCCTTTTAATTTAGGAACGTTCACTGAGTAATTACCTGACGACATTTTAGTACTGACAGTCAAAAAAAAAGGAACACCGAAAGTCACAAACAATAATTACCTTTTTACTTTTCGACTGGGCCCATAACCTAATGAAATAATAAAATTCGCTTGGCGGTTTTTAACAGACTGACTTTAATCCACAGACAACAAACAAGGAGTAGACAAAGTTACACTCATCTATATATAAAAATGAATTGCTGTTCGTTAGTCTCACTAAAACTCGAGAACGGCTGAACGGATTTATCTTATTTTAGTCTTGAAATGTTCGTGGAGGTCTAGGGAAGGTTTAAAAGGCGAGAAAAAATCGAATAATTTCCGGGAAAACCCTAAAAACAGCCCTTTTCTATTTCCCATACAAACGTTTTCTAGAGTCAATTTGTACTTTATTGCTATTCAATAAAGTTCATATTAAATTATAATCACTCACTGTTGTCTAAGCAATTTAGGTGTGTTCCTAACGTCAAAGAGTCAATTTGCAATTTATTACCGCTGCATAAAGTTCAAATTCAATCATATCTATGAAAATAGTCTTCGCGTGCGCTTTGAAGGATATAATGTCGCGTTCCGAAAATAAACAAAAGTGAATCGCGAAAGCGACAAAAAATGTAATAAACTATTAGTAGTACTGATTTCCAATTAATTTGGTCGGCTTCGCGAAACTTTAGTTTAGCTAACTTCAGTTGTAACTGTATAAGTTTTTTTTTTAAGTTTGATAAATCTTAAGTTTTGTCACAAATTAAGTTTCTGAACACAACCATAATATTTGACATTAGATTTGACAACCAAACTAATATGTCAATCATTCTGTCGCACTTCAGAACACGGAGATTTATGGCTTAAAGGTAAACTCCAAAAAAAATAATAAAAAAAATATTACGATTGACGATATTGTGTTACGATCATGGTTACGATATTCTATGAGTGCATCCTTCTATCTTTGTGAGTGACGATTACCGCTACGTGCGCGAGAACTTTCTTTACTTTTGTGATCCTTTGTGATAGTGACATTCCAAGTTGTGTGCTCTTTACATTTACTTGAGAACGATTCGCACTGGGATGATACGCTCAAGGATTCCGTAATATCTTCATCACCGCATCAAATTCGTACATTGTTTGCGATTATCATATCGACATGTTTCCCCTCGAATCCAAAAGATTTGTGGGTTAAGTATAGAGATGACATGTCTGAGGATGTTTTGCATCGTGTTCGCCGTGAAACTTTGAATCCTACACTACAAATGACTGAAGAAATTTACAATGAGACATTGATCATGATAGAAGATATGTGTTTATTGATAGCAAATAAAGTATTGTCGTGTTTGGGAATGACAGCACCCAATCGTCATATGCACGATGCATTGGCCGAAACAGTTCGTGCAAATGTTCCACAATTAAATCAACAACAAAGAATCGCGTACGACACTTTGACAGAAGCTGTGAATAGTGGATCTGGTGGAATTTATTTCCTTGATGCTCCCGGAGGAACCGGAAAAACGTTCTTAATTTCATTGCTTTTGGCGAGGATCAGATCGCGAAATGATGTTGCTCTAGCGTTGGCTTCATCTGGAATAGCTGCGACTCTGCTAGAAGGCGGACGAACTGCGCATTCTGCCTTGAAATTACCATTAAACATGCAAATCACCGAAACACCAATTTGCAACAGCAATATTGGCAGCGAAAAATAAAGATGTCGAGGATCTCAATGCGACCATTCAAAATTTTCTTCCAGGACAGTTGGTTTCCTTCAAATCAGTCGACACCGTTACGAACCAGGATGACGTAGTCAACTATCCCACGGAGTTTTTAAATTCACTGGAATTGCCTGGATTACCACCTCACAATTTGCAGTTAAAAGTAGGATCAGTTGTCATCATGCTGCGTAACATTAATCAACCTCCACTATGCAATGGAACAAGACTGGCTGTGAAAAAGCTGATGAATAACGTCATTGAGGCAACAATCATAAAAGGAAAATACAAAGGAGAGGATGTCTTGATCCCGCGAATACCGATGATTCCAACGGATTTACCATTAGATTTTAAACGCTTACAATTGCCAGTACGTCTGGCCTTTACGATGACAATAAATAAATCGCAAGGACAGTCTTTAGAAGTTTGCGGAATCAACTTGGAGTTTCCCTGTTTCGCGCATGGACAATTATACGTCGCGTGTTCGCGCGTCGGAAAACCGTCTTCTTTGTTTATTTACGCACCACAAAACAAAAAAAAATAGTTTATGAGAAAGCTTTAAATTGATTAACAAACTGTATCATAACAGTGTGTGTCTGTTAATAAAAATTTAAACCTTATAAATAGCCAGTATTTCAGGAAAACTCTGTTTTTTTAAATAAGCAACATGATGTGTCGAAAATAATAATAAAATTTCATTAAAAATGCTTTTTTATTCAATACGTTTAAGTTGTTTGTTTTGAAATTAATTTATACAAAAGTTTAGGTCTTTTATTTATCGATTGAGGCAGTACGAAGTCTGCCGGGTTAAGCCTCATACATACGTAACGATTTATCGTAGCGATTTCAGACTGTGCAGATAAATCGAACGTTCCTAGTGCCTCCACACGCCTCCGATATCGACGTCGATCGGGCAGTTCTCAGCAGAAGCTCGCGCAAGATACATGTTAACAATGGAAGATTATGACGCACTTGCTATATTAGGCCTGGTTATGTGTTTAAAGAAAAAAAAGAAGCGGAGTCTATGGTGTAAAGACTGGCTCATGAAAAGGAAGCAATTTTCTCATACCAACTTGTTATGCGAGTTGAAATTCGCTCCGCAAGATTGGCATAACTATTTAAGGATGAATGAAGAGGCATATTTAAATCTGCTCGCTTTAGTGATCTGCACGTGCGCACACTAGCAAGCTCCGTGAAGTACTGCCGAACTGAGCGATCGCCGTCCACACGCAACGATAAAACTGTGCAAATATAATCGACAACGATTTATCTGATAGAAATTGAAACTGCCACCGACGAACGATTATCGACAACGATTTTTCATACACACGATCGATAAAACTGCGCAGACTGGTCTGAACAGATTTATCGCTACGATAAATCGTTACGTATGTATGAGGCTTTAGCTAGTATACCAATAGATTGCTTTAGTACTATGATATTTTGTTAAAGTTACAATTTATTTATAACAGTGTCACTAATGAACATAACTCGTCGACGTCGCTTTCGTAAAGGTGGTTGTAAGTTACAGTCTTTCTCAGACTCCGAACTTAACTGGAAGATACTTTGAGCAAGGAAAATTCAATATTTTCAATCTACGTCAAAACACCACTTGTTATTTCAAAGTCTTCAAAACCATCCATGATTCACGCTACTCTTTACTTCACAGTCAGACAGGAAATAGAATATTTCACTTTAGAGGTAAACCAGGGTCAAACTTTCACTAAAACAATCCTGACTCCCGCGGCTGCGGGGCGGAAATGCAGATTTCTAACTGCGTGCGCCGTGGTGGGCATCGGTGAGCGACAGCAATTATTTCGTAAATTCTTTTAATAATATTAAAAAATAATTATTTAGACCGGGTTTTTCAATGTTCATTATTATTATTTTTATACGCAGATCGTCATGTATTGGTTCTGTCAATGTTAGAATATCTGCATTTTGTTATTCTATTTAGTGAACATTTACAACAAAGTCAAATATTTACAACTGCGTAACTGCTATACTGCGTTATTAGAAAAAAGTAACGCAGTTGTTGCATCGGTAACGCAGTTGTGTTTAATGTGTTTTTAATGTTAGTAATACGTTATTAAAAGCGAAATACCAATATATTGTTCCTTTTTTTCTCAGAAAGAAGCTTCTGCACTAAATGAGGTTGACGAACGCAAAAAAACAACGTCGCTATAGGCTTAAGTTAAAGCTAGACCCTGTAAAAAATGCTGAAGCCAAAAAAAAACATCTTGAAAGGTACCACGCAAAGAAAGACATGACAGAGCGTGAAGACAGAAATGCTAAGCGTAAATGCAAGACTGCGAATAAGAAACGACGGGAAAGTCAAAAGTGGGCTCAACAAATTTTGATCGAATCGAACATTGAACAAATTTTGAAAATCGATCTACAGTGTACAGAAAAAATCTTAAATTTCAGGAAGAACTTGGAATGATGAAAAGGATGTGAAGTAAATACGTAAGTAAAAGAGATACCATAGAGCTAAAACTTCAATCAAAGACACGAAAAAAGTAAATAAGCTTAACCAAAATAAATATTCAACGTTATCCAATGCCATCAAAGATTATTATTAAAGTTTGAAGTCAGTGAAAGAGAAAAAAGCCTTAAAGCGAATTTTTGAAGGAGAAAGCTGGATATCCAAGTCTAAAATGAAGATTACTATTATAAAGCGAGACTCCTTAAAGAATAACCTTCTGGTTGACAATATTAAAAACTTTTTTGATCGCGACGATTTTTCTAGAACTACGGCTGGTTAACGGGAAACTGTCACTTGTAAAAAAATAAAAATGCAGAAGAGATATTTACTGGACACGATATAAAGCCTGTTTCGTTCATTCAAAAAAAGAAAACCCGGAAGTGAGATGTTCTTACTCATATTTCCATATATTCATATTAAAACCGCCTTCAATTGCAGGAAGAGAGACTTGCCTGTGCAAGACACATACTAATGCGCAGTATACGATAGATGCTCTCCACAAAATGAGGGTCTTTGCTCACCCAAACATGAACGACCTTATCGCTAGCACAGTATGCTCGACATATAACCTGTATAATATTTTCATAAGTTGTTTCCTTTATAAGTTTATAGTTCCTTATGAACGCGCTGTCAGTTTGACAGTTGACAGCTGTCACTTGTGATTCTTTTGTCTCTGAATCGGAAGTGTGCCACCATTGATTGCTATAAGATCGTTGATTGTAAGAAACTCTTTATTAAAATCTCCTGCAATTTATTAAACATATTTTTGGTGCCGAAACCCACTACAACAACAGTTGTGACATTCACGCGACCAGTTTGGTGTGGTGTGGCGATATTCCAACAGGACGAAAGCTGAATCGCCAACGCTTTTTTCTTCAGCATTTTCAGCTGTAGGGCTCACACCTACCACGTAACATTTATTATAGACACACAAAACAACATAAGCATAAACGCAATTACACTATCATAAAAATAGTTTCACACAACACTCGTATTCGTCCTAAGTGGGAATCGAACCCACGACGAGCTTCACAGTCATTTATCACAGTTATCTGAACACTTAAGGTTTGGAAATAGTTATTTATTACTTCTTAACACTACTCAAGACATTCACGGCACTTATGATTTTTTACATTATAGTGTTGAGTGATGTGGGTCGCTCCAGAACGATCGTATAGTAAGTACGTTAAGTTAGTTGGTTCATGGCCCCCTTACAGCCTGCGCGTTCTCGGTTATTGTTGACATTCCATCTTATTTAATTAAGTAAATTTAAATTGTATAAAGTGTTGTGAATAGACAGTATATTCTGTGTCGCGTTGTGTATATTGTGTGTCTCTTGCTTGTACTCCTTCTGTCTTTTAAATAGTATATCGTGTTGTTGTGTGTATAAATTATAACAGTAAGTGGATATTGACTTTTATTTATATTCACCCGTAAGTACACATACTACTCCACATTACTATACAGCAATCAATCTTAAGAAACATTTCAAAGAGTGCAACAGCACAAATCATTTCAAGAAAAAGTAAGCGTAAGCCGTGTGCGCATTATTCACTACCACGACAAAATGGCGCCACCGCTATCAGAAGACAATATTACGATGCTTTTAAACCTCAGGGGTAATCTAAAAGGTAGGATTACTCGCATTGAAAATTACGTAAAGCAAGTGAAAGATAAAGATCTTGCAAGATATGAATACGAACAACTTCAGATAAGAAGTACGGACCTGACAACACTTTTCGAAAAATATAATGACACCCAAGACCATATTGAAAACCTCCAGAAAACAGGAGAGGACTCCGATGAGCGCTCTGCAATTGAAGACAAGTACTATGGAATAAAGGCTATGATCACTAGTCTGGTTCAAGAAAATAGTGCTAATGACACACTCCGATTCAAACCAAAGAAACCTCCAGTTGCAATGCCTAGACTCAACATTCGTCAATTTAACGGTGACTTCAAAAATTAGCCCATATTCAAGAATTTGTTCTACTCTGGAAATCTGGATCGATGGAAATGAGGACCTGCCGAAGCTTCAGAAACTACATTACTTGAAGTCATTTTTGGAAGGGGAGGCGGCTACTCTCATAAGTTTATTAATACTGTCTGAAGAAAACTATGATAAGGCCCTAGAGATTTTAACTAAAAGGTATGATAACAAACTTATAGTCATAAATCATCATTTAAAAAGCTTTATGAACTATCAGTTCATAAATAAAGCAAATTTAATGGACTTTCTAATGTTGTTTCAGCAAAGTTACCTATAGAGCATTGGGATGTTTTACTTATATATATCATTGTTCAAAAATTGGACAATTAATTGAGAGCAGCGTGGGAAATTAGTAGGCAAAGCTCTGAGATTCCCAAACTGTCAGATCTTTTAGATTTCCTTACACATCGCAGCATTGCACAAGAATTAATAAACGACAAACAAAGTGTACCAAGATACAACACAACAAATACAAGTACAAGGGCTACTCATGCTACTACTTCCACTTTTAACAAACCTAGCTGTGTCTTATGTGACTCTTAACATGAACTAACAAAATGCCCTTTATTTTTGCAACTTCCTGTCCCACACAGAATTACATTTGTAAAAAGCAGAAAGCTCTGCTATAATTGTTTATCTATTTTTAAACCTGGACATCATTGTTCACAAGTGAAGAAGTAGCAAAAATTCCGGCATCATGATTTCTTCCCTGAGCTCCAACATTTACGTAAATAAAATTGCATTTCGCATTTACTAGGGCCAATAAAACTATAGAAAATGTCGATTTATAATTAAAAAATAAAGATTCGCTGTTAGGTGGTGCTTCGATCACTACATGTTTACCGTCTAGTGCTCCTAAGCAATTAGGAAATTTCCACAGTAGCCAGAAATCTTCAGCAACAGCTTTCCACATTTCTGTAGTCATCTCGGGTAATACCTCGCTCATTAATAGGTCAACTATAATTTTGCATGTCTCTTTGACAATTTTATTAACTGTGGTGTGACCTAAACTGTAACTAAATGAAATTGTGATATGTGAGTCACCAGTGGCCAAATATCTGAAAATAATAATAATAAAGAATACATTTTTTGCCATAAATAATATTGTATGTTTCAGACTGGGTAATCTGCAAACAAAGATGGACCAATATAAGATACCAGTACAAAAATGTTTAAAAAGTCAAAAATCTAGCACTGGTCAAGCTGCGAAAAAAATAAAACTGTACAAGTTTTATGAACAACTTCAATTTCTTAAGAGCATTGACGAAGATAGAGATAAGATAGAAAGTTTTGCAGAACGCAGCGAAATAATGCCTTCTTTACCATCTGACATAACACAATCCATGAGCAACGATTCAGACATTAATCAGGAGTCAAATTCGCAGTCCCACAAGGACGTTGTAGCTACTCCATCTCTTACGTCATTTGCAATATCACCAGTTGCATCTTCATCTTCTGCTACAAATGAGCAAGGTGAGCCTCCATCCGACCTGTCAATACAAGAGCCTCAGAGGAATCCGCGTCTGAAAAAAAAGAAGATGTCTGCCTCTGTTCCTGAATCCGCTTCAGCTACTCTAATGAAATATGTACTCATGAATAGAAACAAAAATACTGAACATACTGAAAAGAGGAACAAGATCCTATCGATGCATTTTTACAGGGACTTGCACCTACTTTAAAATCATGTTCTCCATATTTGCAACACTTGGCAAAAGGGCAAATTTTTCAAGTAATACACAATTTGGAGCTTCAGCAATTAACTGAAAATCTAACGTCCTTGCCATCTACGCCTATTATTTTGTCGTCTCCTTCGCCTTCATAGCCATCAGTGCCGGTTATTTCATCGCCATTGCCAGCTTCAGAACATTCAGGGACGTCGGATTCAATACAACTTTCTGAACAACCAGGGTCGTCGGAGTCAATACAACTTCATTTCTCGCAGTATGATACTGCTAATGACTAATATATATAAAAATGTAAAATAAATGTTGCATGATTATAATTTCAGTTAATTGTAGCTAAGTGGCGGCCACATGGATCGATAGATCTGCAAAGTTGTGCAACGCTAGCCGCGGTCAAGTCCATGATTACAATTTTGAAATAAATAACTACTATATAAAAATGTCTTTGATTACCTTTTACATACAGCCAAACGTTCTCGAGGTGTGATAGTTCTTTTCATAACAGTGTCTTTCTTAAGTAAATGAGGGCTTAGCTTATTTTCCAGTAAAGCAAAACATTCTTTTGGCATTCGAAAATACTGATAAAATTGAGTCTCATCATCCAGAAGTTCTTTGTAGATAGTGTGGTATTCTCCTTCTTGTTCTTTATTCTGCCATGTAGGATGTACAGAAAATCTCCTTTTCTTGTTCACGGTCGTAGCTACTTCGTCATCTAGAGCAATAGCAATTAAAGCCAATTCTTGAAATGAAAAATCCATCTTTCCTTGTTCACAACACTAGCACGTTAGATCTGAGTCACTGACACGGTGCGTATGCATTTATAACACGTTCCCGTTTTGAACGAGGCAGTGACGTCCCCCTCCCGTTCACGTCCCGTCCGAGGTAATATTTCGTTACGTATACAGCGACCTTTAGATATTGCTAGTGATCTACGTTGTGCACTTTCTTCTATTGAACCCAGACTTGGAAATCTTGTGAAAACTATGCAAGCTCATCCGTCACATTGATTCTTCCTAAGTGTGTAAAAGCCATATTTTTATAATAAAACATCTGAAAATGTATTTGTGGACTTTATTTTACTATACAACGTTATTCCTTCTGATTGTTTCCAGTCAAAACTCTTGAAAGATAGCTGAACGCTGGGCGGTTATATAAAAAAGCTACTAACCTATCCCAGTCGGTTTGCTCTGAATCGGGGTGTTTAGCCTTCGACATATTACAGAATGACGAACGTTTGTGAACTGACGACGCCGTATGTAAACGGCGAAATCTAACAAATTGCCTGCTACAGATGCACAGCGAGCGCCAGACGTTCAGTGGCCATCGACATACTTCTAACGGCGCACAATCTTTCAAAATTTTCAAATTAACATGGTTTAAAAACTATTGGAATCGATTCTGTAACGGATTCTGAACAAACTACTTTCAGGTTTCGCATCAAGTAGGAATAACCTTGTATATTTTACCTACCCTTATTTTATTTTACAATTGCTTGGCGAGCCCACTTGCTGCTACTTGCTGGGCTCTGGGCCGAGGGGAGGCGTGAGCATATTAATTTTAAGCAGTAGGGAGGCGTGATACTTATAAGTTTGGGAACCCCTGGTCTATGAAAACTCGACCGATTATGGAAAAACGGAAACTTTGTATTCTAACCAATTGCAGTGTGAAAGGAAGATTACAGGATATTGAAAATACATTTTCTGAACAATTTAACTTCTGTCGTTATATCACACAAAACTGTGGAGTATTGAAAATGCTAGCTGATATTAAAACTAAGTTGCGAAACTATACCATCAATGACTACTGTTTGATCCTGATTGGAGAACATGACTTTAACCCTTTAATTCGCAATGTTGTATGTAAACAACATAACAAATAGAAAAATATTTCAACAAACTAAATAACTATTTCAATGGTTACAATTTTCAATATTGTAGCAAAAACGAAACACTACCAAAAAAAAATAGAACATCACTAAGTGTCATTGAAATGTCATTTCTTCGCAAAATGGCGTCGAGACTACCAGCGCCTTGCGGATCTAAGGTAAGATTTTTTTTATTTATTAGTTTAAAGCAACAATATTGCTTATTATGTGTTACTATTTTCCTCTCAGATACTTACTGTTATGATTTGTGTGTAAAACCTATAGTAATTACTTGTAAAAAAGAATATATACATATGTTTGTAAAAGAGTATGTTGTAAAAGGCCTACATTGCGAAGTATTGAGAAAAGTAACGTGTGTTATGTGTGTTATTGACTGACAACGCCGTCCCTTTAGTGGGGATATTGACGATTTATTTTATAAATGTGTTTTTGATTTCATTTGTTTTTTTTTAAATATTTCTTTTTGAATTAAACTGCTATATATATTTTTTTACAAAATATATAGATAAGGTCTATTTTTTTTACCAAAAAGAACGTCTAAACAAACGAGAACGTCGGTTTTTCCAAAAAGATATTGAGCTTAGTTGTTCGTTTGTTGCTGTTTCGAGTTTCGTCTGATACCTGATACAATTTGAAATTTTCTAGTAAATATCTCATATTTGGTTATGCTTTGGGTGCGGTTTTGCATGTTTTTTTTTGCATTGCTTGTTTCAGAAGCTAAAATGGCAAAGAACGCAAAAGATAATGGCTTTGGTACCACCTGAAAAAGCACCTTCGTCAGACAGCAGCAGCGCCTCTGAAGAAGAAATGTTGTTTCAGAAGCCCAATGATGATAATGACGATTTGACGTACTGTAGTTCTGAACCGCGATCATATCCAACATCGTTAGATCGTATTGTTACATACCCCTTTTGTATGGGACATCGCTGAGACATCGCTGAGCTAAGCGTTACTAGGCGGGTATCAGATATCCCAGTACTCAGAGCGTCGCCAGGTTGCATCAGTCTCTTCCGAACCCTGAGAGTGAACACTCGCCTTTTCCATTTCACTTGTAATCATTCTTTTTATTAAAAGTGTTCATTAATTTACTATTTCCTTCTTTTTTAGATCCGACGGGAAGTGGCCGACGTGTTTACTTTGATGTCGTGGATAAACGCTACATGCGTTAGCACTGTCGCAGCCACACATTTAAGTTGCACTGTCTACGCTCTGGCGGCGGCGAAATAATAGGAAGTAAATTATCTGCAACTATTGTTGTAAGAAAAATGCCCTCAAAAATTGCAATGAGAGGTATACGAACAGGAAAATCAAGAATAGGCAGCTTAAAGACAAAAGGGGCGTCAAACGAGGTGACTCTATGCCGATAACACAGTTATCCAACAAGTCACAGATGAAAAACATCATGAATTCAAACTCCCACTCTATCTAGCATGTATAAACTATTTTAAGGCTTTCGACAAACTTACACATTCATCAATATTCAAAGCCTCACATTACCAGGATATAGAACCCATATACATCAATTGACTTAAAAATATTATGTACAGCAGCAGCACCGCAGCCATACACTTACACAATCTCGGCCAATTCACTTCAGTGTCTTTTTATATTTTTGTAAATTTAATTGCTGTAGGTGTAATAGGGATATGAAAAGAAAAGTTTATTTAGATTAAGTTCTTAATCAAAAATTATATTCATACATGAAAAAATTATAAATGAGAAATTATGGATATCTTTGAACGAGACAAACTTATTGGTTAGGCCCCTAAGTTAAAATGTAGACCATAAATCACATGTACTTGCATGTAAAGTACTTGAAAAAGTCAATGGTCATATCAATCATCTCCGGCCGATAATGGCGATGAATTCGTCGTTCTCTACGTCTACGCCTTCGCATTCGCAAGATAAGCACCAAGGCAAGTGCAACTAGAGGCTCCATATTCACTCACCAGATGAACAACACGGCCGTCTCTCTCGAATACTCTACTATTAATGCAACTTTCCTGCACGACGTCTATCTTACGACTAGTCGCCGACGCAAGCGACAGCTCCGCGTCTATTCGCTGCGACAAGTTGCCCAGTTTGCGAGGGCTCTTAGACTGATCTATATTTCGGATAATGAATGGCACGTTCAAATGTTGCCCACGGTTATTTTACTAGCTGTATACCATACAGGGCCAAGTTGAATAGAACAACAAGGGTATGGTGATAGAAAAAGCTCTGTTTCAGCAGGTTTGCAGTTTCTTAAATTATATATAATAAAATCATCAAAACATTCAAATAAAGAGAGTAAGAGATTATGAGATACGAGAAAGAGTGAACAGGGATGTAGAACTGCAATTACAAAGTGCATGGCTGAATTTCATGAAACAGGCTATGGAAGTATTTGCTAGGTGCGGTGCAGACGACAAACTATCCGTGGCGCACTTTATAGTCTGTAAAAATAGAACCTATGCAATAACGTCTTCTTCGACGGTGCACGCCGCAGTCTGCAATCTGCACTCGTTGGTGGGTCTATCAAACGTAACGTGACGTACAGTGGGGAGACAGTGCCCTCGGCCGAGTGCTCGGAACATATGAACATTTTGACTAGGACGCGGAGGGTGGTAAAAGTCACTAAAACCACGATTTGTTTGCTAAGCCGAGTGACCACCTCCGCTTCATTCCTCCTCCCCGCAGTGACTCGCTCTTTCGCTCGTCATGTGTGAACATACACTCGGCCGCTATTCGCCACTCGTTCGGCAGTACTATGCACATTGTGTTTTATTTTGCCAAAATTTATAAGGGCGGTACAAAGATTACGAGTCAATCAAAGTTTAGTGCCACGTGATGTTGAGTTTGCTCCGCGAACACCGATCGCCCTTGAAGAACGTGCATTAGACTATTTCACGCGTAACCCTACATGGCAAGGCTGCTCGTCAATTCAGTGTTCACCATAGAAAGGTCCACGGTATTTTAACCGTAATAAACGACGGCCCTTCAGGTACAGGCACTATTAAACGGAGATAAACCCATGAAAGTGGCGTACTGTCAGTGGTTACGTACAAAGGAAACGAATGACCCTGGATTCCTATCCAACATCATATGGATTACCGAGAGTACCTTCACACGTAATGGTATATGGAATCGCCAAAATTTGCGATATTGGGCCAGGGAAAATCCTCATGCTGTACGCGAATCTTTCCACATGTACCGTTTCTCGTTGAATGTATAGGCAACAATTTACTACAGTCAAATAATTGGTCCAATATTCATTAATGTATATTTGACTGCTATCAAGTTTTTGGAATTGCTTGATCGCCCAGTGTTTGACTACAGAGATAAACTGTCTGTAGCTCAAAGCAGGCGTTTGTGGACGGAGCGCCTGAGCATTCGGTGGTGGCTGCCAGGGAACGTCTTAATCACATGTTTGGCAAACAGTGGATAAATGGACGCTATGGGCCTACACGATGGCCACCTAGATTACCAGATTTCACGTCTTTATACTTTATTTGTGGGGATGTGTGAAAAATGAAGTGTACGCAATAGACGCCACCTCAACAGAAGACCTGAGATCGACGATAATTTGATAAAATAAGAGCTTTATTTATTTTTATTTATTTATACTTCCTGCAAATACATTGCATAAGGCGGACTTAATGCCATAGTCATTTTCTTCCAGTCAACCTTGGGGTGATGCAGAGATTTGTGTGTGGCAGGTGTAAAATGAGATAAATTGTTTAAATTGTAGTCGGTTGCAAGACGTGATACTACACAGATATATTGGGTATACATATATAGATGTAAATATAATTTATGCGTACTACTTGTGTACTAAAATACGAGGAAACATGATGCGAAGATGTATTCAATGCATTGATGTAAACGGTAGACACATTGAAAACCTATTTTTTTTAAATATATTTACATTAATTTGATCTACTATTGTATGTATGATGTACTAAACTGGTGTACAATAAAGTTTATTCTATTACCTGATATATTGATGACCAAATCGACAATGACACCTATCTTGGAAATTAAGATGCTTGACTACAATATACTAAATCACATATTTCGACTCTTTACTTTCACGAAAAGATGACAACGTAAATAAACAACTATGTGGTTTTATCCAAAGTGTATTTCTGACAAAATTACCAGATGATAAACCAAAAGTTTTTTTTGGCTAAACATGGATTGCGATATTACTAAGTGGAATACAGCATACACGTAGGACATACTATTTCAGGCGTAGGTAATTTCGAACGTGTTAATTTTCAACACCGATATATTGATATTGTTGGACCTCTAGTAATCTCACTCGATGGTTATAAATATTGCAAAACGATTACTGACTGCACGACAGGATGGCCGGAAGTTGTGCCAGTTCAAAATGTAACAGCGGAGACCGTGACAGGTGTTTAAGTGCTGAATCTCTGGTGCCCTTAACCCTAAAGCTTACAGGCGACCAAGGTAGAAAATTCAAGAGTGACCTGTTTAACAACCTTATGAAGTATTTGGGTATAAATAAATTGGGCACAACCCCTTATCATCCAAAAAGCAATGGCATGATAGCACGTTGGCATGGAGCACTTAGTGACTCTTATGGCACGTTTACAATGCAACAAGTCTTGGGTTGACGATCGCGTTATTAGGGCTGCTCGCAGCTGTTAAGCCTTGTATCCACTTGAGCATGCTCGGGCGAATGAGCGGCTCATTTGGCCGAGCCGCTCAAGTGGAGACGCCTGAGCACGCTCGGCCCAAGCAAATCCGAGCGCGCTCAGGGCGAGCCGGCATCTGTCGGTTTTTGTCCGTGCTCAAAGGCGGCTAAAGGCGCTCAGTATTCGCTCGGCGCTCAGTGTGGACGGTTGTTCTTGTGTTTGAGGCGAGCGCGTCGAATTCCCCGAGTTTAATTACGTTTACTTTTTCTGTTATTTGAAAAATGAGTGGCTTGTGGGATAACGAGACTTGTTTAACATTAATTGATGCATATGAATAAAAAAAAAAAGAAGATGCATGGCGTGATATCAGTGATACATTAAAGATTAGTGTAGACGATGTAAAAAAAAAATTGTAAGCCTGACAGGTTCATTTAGACGAGAACGATCAAAGCAAAAACGAAGTTCTAAAACGGGAAGTGGTAAGTGTTATTAGTGTTTATTTGATCCGTCAACATGTTATATTGATTTACATACCATATACATATATGAATTACATAATTCAATATTTTTGTTTCAGGTCAAGATCAAGCGTATGTGTCAAAATGGTTTGCATTTGATCGGATGAAATTTTTAATGGATAAAAGTGAACCAAATGAAACTCGAGATAGTTCCAATGTAAGTTTATTTATTTTCATAATCAATACTGATATTATAGAGAGGTAATGTTTGCGAGTTTGGAACTCACAAACACAACAAACTCGCAAACATTACCGGAGATTACTCTGGTACTTCTGGTCCAATATGGATAATTATTTCACTAATATAAAGGTACACTATTCCTGGTGGTTATATATTTTGTGAAAATTAGCCGAACTGTAATGAACTGCGTCAACCAACTCAGAAAATATTCGGAGCATGCTCGGGCGAATGAGCCGCTCATTCGCCCGAGCATGCTCCGAATATTTTCCATCCATCCAAGTGGATACAAGGCTTTACGTAATCTCTCTGAAGATTCGATAACGGAAAATTGTAGTAAGTTAGCAAAAAAATATGATAACGATTTATCAGAAGAAAACTTAATTTCTGAATGTATTCAGTTTAAATATTATTTGCTAGAAACTAGAAAAGAGATACAGTTAGATTTCTCAGATTTGTACACCCAAATTAAAAAAGAATCTTTAAAATCTACTTTTCCTAATATAGATATAAGTTTACGAATTTTTTTAAGCATGATGGTCTCGAATTGTAGCGGCGAGAGATCATTTTCAGCCTTAAAATTTATAAAAAATGATCATCGAAATGCCATGTTAAATCCTCGATTGAATTCTCTTTCGATTATGTTTATAGAATCGGACATTTTAATTAATATAAGTTTTGAAGACATAATTTCTGATTTCGCTCACAAAAAATCAAGAAAAAAATTGTAATGTTACATTTCCATATTACATAATAAATATTATATTATAAATTAAATGACTAACGTAATTAATTACTTTATTTTTATTACTATGGGGGTTTTAAAGCTTACGATTTGTTATTCAACGTTCTTTCTAAAGGATGATTGTAAATGATTTTTTGCGATTGGGGGGCCCCCAACATGCCTGCGGCCCTAGGCCCGGGCCTATTAGGACTTTGCGTAAAGACGGCACTGTTTATAACTTTACCATCACACTCTTAAACAAAAAAGTTGAAGCCCAGATGAAAGATTCCTATACTGATGTAGACTGCTATTTCTGGAATGAAACTGATGCCAAACGCGGTGCTAATGAGATAGGCTCCTGTTTATTGGATTGCTTTGTGAGACTATGTTGTGAAGCAGGGGTAAGTGCTAGTAATAGTGATGGCCTGAACTTGATTCTGTATTCAGATAACTGCTGCGGCCAAAATAAGAATAAATATATAGTAGTGCTTTATCTGTATGCTGTAACCCCCCTGAATATAGAATCAATCACACACAAATTTTTAATTAAAGGTCACACTCAAAGTGAGGGTGACAACATTCATAGCCTGATCGATAACGAAATTAAAAAGAACTTAAAATCAGAACCAATATATTGCCCCCACCAATATGTTGCCATTATCAAAAATGCCAAAAAGACTGGTCAAATGTTCCGCGTACACGAACTTACATACGACTCATTTTTAGACCTAAAAAATTGCAGGAAGATTGGGGATACAATTTTAATGAAACTGAAGATAAAAATGTTTTATCATGGAATGATAATATCAAAGTTATAAAAGTAATAAAAAGTGAACCTTTTTCATTCTATGTGAAAACATCATACAACAAAGATGCTGAATTTGCAAAGATAAACGTTAGAAACAAGAGAAAAGAATCGAATCCCCTATCAAAGTTGACAACAGTAAAAGCGTACACGGGCAAGCAAAAGTTCGGTGATAATAAAAAGAAGGATATATAAGAGTTAAAGCGGCTATACACGTCACTAAAATCAGTGGCGATATCGGGGAGGTCCCTAGATCGTACTTTAAATCGGCACGTGTATAGACAAATCGTAACTGAAATTTTATTGTTTACCCTAATTCAAAAATCGCTTCGGGCGAACTCACGATTTAGGGACGATTATCGTCTAGGAAGCGTGGTCGGCACGTGTGTAGCGGAATCGGGACTGATTTTTATCAGTATGCGCGCGAGTGCTACGGCGATACGACGTGCTTGCGCTGGTCCGAGTTATTTCGCGCCATTTATTTTATTTCCTGTAGTAGGTTATACTCTTTGTTTAGCGCGAAAACATGGCGAAGGAGAAGGAGCGAGAAGCGTGGACGAAAACTATTGATCTCTTCAGGGAATTATCTTATTTGTGGGATAAAAAACACAAAGAATATTTCAACCGCGACATGAGAAAGGAGGCATTCAAAATGCTATTGCAACTTTTCAATGAAGAGACCGGCAAAAACACAACACTGGCGGACTTCAAGAAAAAGCTTGAAAATATGCGTACTACGTATGGAAGAGAGCTGAAAAAGGTAAGATTATGTAGAATCTGTGCAAAGACTATATATAGAGATTCGCCAATAGAAACCAGCTAATATTTACAGCTACAAAAGGAGGGCTATGTTTTCATTATCCAGTCAGCAAAATATAAGTAGGTACCTATATGGGTACTTACACGTTAAAATAAAATACTATCAATTTATAAAAGTATTTTGATAAATTTGTATCAATTCACTTGTTTCAGGTGAATGCTTCCAAGCAAACATGATCAGGGTCTAATGACATCTATGTACCATCGGTTTGGTATTATCGTCTCTTCGAATTCCTAGAGGGGACGACGGAGCCATGCCGACCTGGTACGGATACTTTGGATGAGGTACGATAAAATAATACTGAAGTAATTCATAAACCTATATTTTATTTATAATATACACAATACACACAACATTTATGTAGGAACTACCCTCAACATATCCTCCTGAAAAGAAACTCTGCCCTGTCCATTAAAATAAGTTGTAAATTTATTGCGTACAATGTTGCCTTCATTATTGCGCTCTTTTTCACTTATTTGCGACAGTGACACTAGTCCTGTTGTTTCTTCCCGCCAATCACCTAAACGAAAAGTAGAATTGTTGATATTCTCAGCATCGACACATGTTTTGGTCATATAACTTTTGGACTTTGTTCTTAAATAATTATTTAAGGCACAACAAACTAGCACAATTTTGTCGACATTATCAATTTTCACACTTATTCTTTGACGAAAGATCCTAAAACGTGCTGCTAAGATTCCAAACGCATTTTCAACTACTCTCCTTGCTCGTGATAATCTGTAGTTGAAAATTCTTTTCTCGTGAGTTATATTCTTAAATGGGTATGGCTTCATAATGTGTCTATTAATGCTGAATGCTGAGTCTCCCAAAAATGTGTATGGTACTGAAATATTTGTTCCCTGTAACGTGCACGGTGGTGGTAGATTTAACTCATTTGTCATTAACTTATTGTACAGGGATGTGTGTTGTATGACGCCACCATCAGAAACGCTTCCATTAATGCCAGTGTGTACATACATAAACTCATAATTTGCATTTACTACGCCGAATAGAACTATACTAAAAAAACCTTTATAATTATAAAATGACGAGCCACTCTCAGGTGGCTTTTCTATGGATATATGTTTTCCATCTATCGCACCCACACAGTGATCGAAGTTCCACTTGTCTTCAAACATTTTAGCATTGTCTTTCCATTCACTTTGCGTTGTAGGCATCTGAAACAGAAAGTAAAGTGAAAGTTTTATTACAGATCCAATGGTCACCAGAGATGTCAGCATCAACATCATCGGAACAAATTATAAATACAGAAATATGTGAAAAAGAGGTGCCCAAGGTCTCCACAAAAATTTCACAGTCCAAGAAGCAGAAAATGTCTATACAAAGAAGACAAGAAAAACTGCTGGATTCTGCTCAGATACTAATGACTCGACAAGATGACGACTGGGACATTATAGGAAAGTCAATAGGCGTTCAATTGAAAAATCTGAGTACCCATCAACAATCAATTGCCCAAAAAATTATCAATGATGCCCTATTTTACGGAAAACTTGGCAAATTGACAGAGGAATCTATTATCACTTTATCTCCACAACACATAGCATCAAATCCTTCTCGCATTTCACATCGCTCCTATCATTTTTCCTCTGGCTCTTCGGTGACAAATTCATCGCCCCAACCATATTATCAACAATATCCAGTACAGCCGTCCCCTCAATCATCTACACAATATATGATACCACAGTCCCCTCAAGCATCTCTACAACATACGGTACAACTTTCTCCTGAACCATCCCAACAATATATGACATTACAATCTCCTCAACCATCTGCACAGCTTACGCTACAACCTTCTTTTCAACCATCCCACCATTATATGATACCACAATCCCCTCAAATATCTTCACAGCTTACGGTACAACCTTCTCCTCAACCATCCCAACATTATATGACACCACAATCCCCTCAAACATCTCCGCAGCCGTATTCTTCATCGTCGAACACTGAACCTTTTAACACTGAATTTCCAAACTGTACATTTAGTGATACAACAATTAAAATAGGAACTGGCGCAGATATGAAGGATTTTTTGATCTTCAAAAAAAAAGAACACAAGTAAATAATATTAATACATACCTTATATTTTTTAAATAAATGAAAAAATGGTTTTTAATTGGTGTTTTAATTACTCTATAAGAATTTAGTCTACTTACCTTAATGAAGTGTTTCAAACATTTATAGATAGCGTAGCATGTCTCTGGAATCATTGTGGACATAAGTTGCGGCGATATTACGGCACTGAATTTTAAATCCTCATAGCTTTGTCCAGTTGCTAGAAAACGTAAAGTAACTGTAAGTCGTTCTCTCGGACTTATGGATTCTCGCATTACGGTATCCTGTTTTTGTATTAATGGTGTCACCATATTGAGGAGTTCTTCAAAACACTCAGAATCCATTCTTAAAAAGTTTCTGAACTCATCTGCTTCTAAATGTCTCATCACGTTCATGTGGCTTAATTCATGACGTTTCATCAACCAGTTTTTAACCCAGGTCCTCCTTTTTCGTTTCTGATTAGGTGGCACCATAGTAAGTGCCAAGACAATGCCTATTTTTTGCTGCTTTGAGAGTGTCGGCGGCATCTCGGATCAACGAGCAGTCTGTTGCACGGTCGGTTACGTACTGACTGCCAGCGACGTGTGTAGAGAATAGCCGATTTCATACCCCCTAGCACTGTCTCGATATCGCCGCTGATTTTAGTGTCGTGTATAGCCGCTTTAAGGCTGTATCCTCATTACCTGAAAACTGTCAATATAGATTCCTTAATGGTAATATTGATGTTTGGCACAAATTAAATAACAATAAGTGGATATTTGTACAATCTAAACCCACGAAACTTACTATCGAATGTTCAAATAGTATATTATCAGAAACAATTGTATCGGGCACGGGAATCCTTAATATTCCATATAATTGTGCAGCATATTGTAGAAATACAAGGTTAGTAAGAGAAACCACCCCCACTTTAAAATTACCAATGGTTTCTTCTAGTTTCAATATTATTAACGATAGTTGTTGTAATGTAGGTCGAGTAAAGAAATTAAATATATCGCCTTTTAAAATAAATGATGTAAAATTAGATGATCTTAAAAACTAAAAATTGTATCCAATCAGATTATAGATAAGTTAAATTCCGTAGATAGTTCCCATGATTTTGATAAGCATATAAGTTTCCCAATCCTTAGTGTATTTTCTGTAGTTTTATGTTTAGCTTTAGTTTTACTATATATTTTTAAAAGGGGCAAGTGTTCAAAATCAAAGATGCATACAATAACAAATGAACAAGATGAGAACTCTCACATAGAATTAGGAATAACTCTAAATCAACCGCGTTTACGGATGGAGTAATTTCCCGGAAACTTTCCCTTACGGTAAGTTTCCTCTTAACCGGGGGGCTGTTACATACCCCTTTTGTATGGGACATCGCTGAGCTAAGCGTTACTAGGCGGGTATCAGATATCCCAGTACTCAGAGCGTCGCCAGGTTGCATCAGTCTCTTCCGAACCCTGAGAGTGAACACTCGCCTTTTCCATTTCACTTGTAATCATTCTTTTTATTAAAAGTGTTCATTAATTTACTATTTCCTTTTTTTTAAAAGCCTTTTTTTTTTTTTTTTTTTTTTAACGTGTGGAAATCCCCTCGGACCGTCACCCCTCCGGGGTTTGCGGCGGGGTGGTGTGTCGGACTCGGACCGACTAAAACCACACGGTGTGCCACTCTGCGCCTGTAACAGGAGGGATCCGGGAACAGCTGTTGTTAAGACATCCGGACCCCTCCTAGCGCCAGCCCGCTCCTGGTGCGGGCTCCGTCTCAGTGTTGTTCCTCTCTATAGGCGACGTCCGGCACACGCGGACGCCGCCCCCTCGCGGCTGGCCAACTAATGCGGGTGGAGGGGAAACCCACCCCGTCCACCCGCGGCCACACTCAGGGCGGCATGAGGCTGTGGTAGGCGGGCCTCCGCCGCCCGGTTCGCCGGCGGCGGATCGGGTCCGAGTGGAGGTCGTCCTCCCGGGCCCTCTCCGCCGCCTCCTTCCGCGAGATTACTACCTCGCAGAAGGTTGCGACCGCGGTAAAACAACTGTCGCTACCGGCCATGGAGCGTACTACGGCCGGTAGCGAGAGATCCACTCCGATGACTGCAGTGAGGGCCCGACGCTGCGCCGCCCATGCGGGGCAGACCGCCAGCGTGTGCTGGGCCGAGTCCTCACTGCAGTCGCAGTGGTGGCAGGCGGGACTCAGTTCCCTCCTAGCGACCGTGTGCAGGTACCTTCCGAAGCAACCGTGCCCGGAAAGCACCTGCGTCAGTCGGAAGGAAAGGGTCCCGTGCTGCCGCCCTGCCCACTCGGCGATGACCGGCTGGAGAGCCTCCACGGCGGCGAAGCCAGCGCGTGGAGTCTCCAGCCGGAACGACCAACGAGCCATCGTGGCTCGGCGAGCGGCTTCGCGCCACTCGCGCACATCCTCGGGCGGAGGGCGAAATCCGCTCTCCGCCCGGGAGTCAGCCACTCGCCGATAAACTTCGGCGAGCACTTCCGCCTCCAAATCCCACGGGGGAGTTCCGGCCAACGCGCATGCCACCTCCGTAGAAACGGTGCGGTAACCGCGTATGGCTCTGACCGCCATTACCCTCTGAGGGCGCCAGAGGCGTACCCTATTCTGGGCGGTCAGAGCCGCCGCCCACACCGGTGCACCGTACAGCGCCATTGACCGGACAACCCCCGTGTACAGCCGTCTTGTCGCGACGCTGGGTCCACCCATATTGGGCAAAAGTCGCCCTAGGGCAGACGCAGCGCCGACCAGCTTTGGAGCAAGCTGTCGGAAGTGCTCGTCGAAGAGCCACCTCCCGTCGAGGATCAGGCCCAGATATTTCATCTGGGCCCGAACCGGTACGAGGACCGAGTTGACCACGATTGAGGCGCCAGGGGGTGGACCACGACGGGGCCCATGAAATTTTTTTTAAAAGCCTAAGTCAAGGCCCCGTGTAACAGTATGAACATTTTCTCAAGTTCCGATGAAGATACTGTTCCACTATCTCCTGATAATCAAGAAATGTTTCCTACTGGTCAACCTCAACAACTACTCCCTTTCATGCTTCATTCAGTTTCATCCGTTTTGTCGCCGTTAGACTCGCCAGCTAATAAAACTCGTTCAAAAAGAGCAGCTAATACTGTGCCTCGACTTACAACCAAACGAGTAAAAAAATTTGTAAGGAAACCTTTAAATTTTAATTGGAAATCTGCAAAATTTGAACAAGCTGCTACAGTTAAGCTACCTGAACATCAACCCCCATTAGAAGCCACAACAAAAACGCCTTTAGATTATTTTAGATCATTTTTTACCGACGACATAGTTGACCTCATTACCGATAATACTAATTTGTATTCAGTACAATGTGCAGCTAACAAAAGTATCAATGTCACCAATGAAGAAATAAAAGACTTTATAGCCATAACGATACTAATGGGTGTTGTTCATATGCCCTCTTATCGTGATTATTGGAGTAAGAGGCTCAGGTTTCCTAAAATTGCAGATGTTATGCCACTAAAAAAATATGAAAAAATTAGAAAATACCTCCATTTTTGCGACAACTTAAGTATGAACGACGATCGGTATTTTAAAGTTCGTCCAATACTAGAACGGATCTGACAGAACTGTTTACAACTCGAAGAAGAAGGGCGTATCAGTATAGACGAGATGATGGTCCCCTATAAAGGAACTAGAGCGAGAAGTAGGAGACATTGGTGCTAATTCTGTTCGTAAACTCTCTAAACTAAATTAAAAATCACTAAAAAATAGTTTAGTGTGTCAAACAACGTTTCGTATTCTGACAACGTAGAACTTAACTATATTAGTTTGACACAACCAAAATTAGTTAAGTTACTCAACTTAGTCCTTTTTTGCTCATTTGTTATTCTGTTGTACTTTCTAAAAGCCAAAAATTGACTAAAATTAAAAACGTCACACTAAAATTAGACGCTAGCTAAATACATCCCGACTAACCTAATAATTAGAGTTTTTAAGTATAAAATTCAAAATTTTAGCGAATTATATTTTTAAATGATAAGTGATTACGTGATTATGGTGTTGGTCAGTTCAGCGGAAAGGTATGTGCATAATATTATTCATCATAAATCACAAATAATTATGAGCCTTATCTGAATTATTAAAACAAACATACTTATGTATTATTTCTAGAAACTATCAAGAACGAATACGCTTAGAACGAATGCGAGATAACTCCAGTCCGTTTGAGTTGGCAGAGGAAAAAATTTAAAAACTATTCAGGCTTTCTAGATCTGGTGCTTTTCAATTAGTCAGCGATCTCGATGATCAACGCCTGGATGAAGGCTTCATACCTAAACACCTAAAAGTCTGCTTTATTACATTGACCGCAATATAAATCCACTGTTTCTATCTTGTACTCTTCATCTTGAACTCATTTTTCAGGTTTTATCTGTACTTCAATTTTTTGCTCAAGGGAGTTACCAAGCTGCTGTATGGCAAGACAATTACATTGCACTTAGCCAACCTTCTGTTAGCAGGTGCATTAAAATAACAGCAGATTTAATAGTGGAGAAGCTTTTACCTAATTATATAAAATTTCCCATGACTGAGAGTGAAAAACTGATTAATGACAGAGTAAGTTAACAGCCATATATTATTGTTTTGGTGATAATCATCAATTTCTACATCTTAAGTATCATAAGATCTATGAAATACTTATAGTGTTCACCTCTTCAGATTTCAAGAGTTGTTTAATATGCCTAATGAAGGATAACGCCTGGATGAAGGCTTCATACTTAAACACCTAAAGGTCTGCTTTATTACTTTGACCACAATATAAATCCACTGTTTCTATTGATCTGGCCCTTTTTCAAAATCCTTCAATTTGATTACATGACTCAAAACTTACCAGTTTGCCAGTTACTCTTGCCTCAAATCTATTTTATCAATATTCTTACATCCATCCTCTCTCTAACAAATCATATAAGTATCCCTTTCTTTACCTTGATCACTACATCTTTTATATATCCATACCGCAACATTCCCTTATAAAGGTAT